GCCCAAAGTGGGGTTCCTGGCTCCAGTCCTGCCGGGCCAGAGCACCTCCATGTCACCAGCTGTGGCACCAGGGAGCCTGCCTCAACTAGGCAGGCTGGCAACTCCTCCCCATCCCCCACCCTGACTCCCCAATAACCCAGCGCCACAGGGAAGGGAGTGGCTTCCCCTGGCCTGCCTCAGGCCTGAGGCCTTCCAGCACCCAAAACCCTCTGTCCCTGCTCAGTCCAGCTAGCCCTTCGCAGGGAGCCTCTAACACTGCAGAGGTGCCGCCCTGTTTGGGGGCGCTCCAGAGAGCTTCGTACCAGGAGCCACTCCTCCGAGCTGGTCCTGGCTGTTGTGGTCACCCCATGTGGGACAGAAGCTGCAGGTCCTCCAGGTGGCTTTGGGGGTGAGATGCTGGTGGCGAAGGAGGAGGCCAAGACACAGGCTGCCGGACAGGGGGCTCTTGGGTAAAACCAGCTGGGCAACCTCTGGAGGCTTCAAAACGTTTCCTGTTACTTGTGGAATGGTTGCCAATCTTTCCAGACTTTCCAGCAGAAATACCTGGCTGGGGTGACATGTCCCTCTCTCTGCTGAGGGAGCAGCTGCAGCACTTCAGGTTTGGAAGTCAGAGGATTGGCTGTCTAGCAACCTCCTAAGCCAGCAGGTTGAGGGGCTGGCCTCCACCTGGCGAGGACTGAAGTTGGCAAGAGAGGGCAGTGCACGTTGTTCTGTCCTTCGAGGCCTAATTCATGGGATGAGAGTTTCTTGGGAGGATAGCGTGTGTGGCGCTTAGCCTGAGATCCTAGTAGCCCCAGGTTACTGGCAGCCCAGAAACTGTCCATAGGGAAACATTAGCTTCTGGTGGTGGCTCCCTGAATCTCAGCTCTTCCATCGCTTAGGTCTTTGGGCTTTGCAACGATGTGCCTTTCTTGCCACCAGAAAAGCCACAGTGCACCCACCTGCCTGGTCCCACTCCCTCCCAGCTTCTGCAGTGGCCCTCAGCATCTCCTGGCACAAGGTCTGCAGGTAGCACAGTGTGCCGACGCCCTGGGGAGGCTTGGGTGCTGGAGCCCCTCACCCTGACTGACACGGGAATCCGAGTTCTGAACCACAGAGTTGGGGTGCGACATGGGAAGAGAGCCACACCCAGTTCTAGTGAGTTGGGTCCATGTTAGAGCACCGAGAGCACTGGGGCAGTGGCAGAAGGTGGGAGGTGGGAAGGGCTGGAACCTTCCCCAGCAGGAACATGTCTTAAAATTGGTTTCCTCGCCTTGGTGAGGTCACTGATGGCCACCCACCCACCTGAGAACCTGCTGCTGGAGGACGACTCGGGAACAAAGGTGACAGGGCTGGATGCCAGCAGAAAGGCCAGGTCCATGGCTACCTCCCCCAGTGTCGACTTTCCTCTGGAGCCGCGCATTGGGCCTGCTGACCCCATGAGTCAGAGCCACACGGCTCCCAGTTCCCCTGAGTGGGGTGGGCCCACCTGATGGAACCAGCCTGAAAGGCTCTTTATGTCCCTGCTTTCACCAAACAGGGGACAGAGGACATACGGGGACGGCTGCACCACAGTGTCAGAGCACCAAGGATGTAGCCAGATGATCTCGGAATTATTTAAAAGTTTCCTTCTTGGTTCAGGAAGAGATTCTAAATATTCATACTTTCACATTCAAGGCCCCTATGGGGCATAGGAACCATCATTGTTAGGGCTTCAAGTGAAAAGAAAAAGCACAGCCCCTCGAAAAGCACACCATGACTATGAGAACCGATCATACCATCTCTTTCTCTGGGGGGTCCGCAGCCTGGGCACATCCATCCCCACTCCCACCATGGCATTCACAGTGAACAACTACCCACCCTGTGCTTCTGTGAGCAAGTCTACAGTTTCCAGTATATACAGAAACCTTCTAAATCTCCCTCAAATGGACAGTAAACTTTCAGTTCTTTCTTTCCTTTTATAACAGTGAGAAGCTGCAGTAGAATTAGAGGACCCTCAGTCAGCTAAATTCAATCTTAATTGAATTCCCAACTTCTGACTTCCCAGCTGTTAGGTGCTCTGGGCAGAGCGCCTTGACCTGGTTGAGCTGGTCAGAATCATTTATGACAAAATCCACATGGCCAACCCCATCCTAGGAGACAGATTCAGTAGATCAGGGGTGGGGGTGGGTGGAATGGGAGGAAGGGGGGAGGAATGCATATTTTTAAGATCCCCAGATATTCTGATACAAAGAAACCCGGAATCAGGAACCCCGCTGATAGATCTGTTTAGAAGCAAAAGGCCTTGTCTTCAAATTCTCCCTCTTCCTCACACTAATTCCTAAAAGATAAATGCAATCAGTAAATAAAGACAGTTTTCAAGATGTTCATGGAATGACTTTTTTTTTTTTACATTTTTTCAACTAGTTAAGACAAAAACATTACAATGGTTGACTTCTTTCATTTAGTTACATAAATAAAATTTTTATAAATATCTCTTTATAAACAATATAAATAGCTTTACAACATAAATACATTTATGCATGACATGAATTTACAAACAGCAATGTTTACAGCTGGTTTTGTCAGTCTCTTAAAAACTGTCGCTTGTCATCACGCCGGTGTAGGTGTGTGTGTTTCATGTATATAATATATATATAATATATAACTTTTTATTTTTCATTTTCAAAAAAACAAACAATAAAATCATACCCCCCTCCCCAAATAATAATAAAACAGCTGGTGTTGTGTATTCCCAATACCAGTGGGGGAAAAAGAAAGAAATGTAAAAGCCACATTGCCTTGGAGGTGCTTCCAGATGACCAAGGGTGACCTCAGCAAAACGGAGCAATCCTGAAACACAGAGGGGACACAGGACACTCAGTTCTGAAACCTTCGCTGAGAAAGCCCAGCCTGCCAGGTTGTTCTAGAACCTTCCTTCCCTTCCAGAAGCAGTATGAAGCAGTGCCCCTCTACCTGTGCCCCGCAGGCCCTGAGGAAGCCCTTCCTGTAGAGGCAAAGGGACCCTTTCACTGGCCTTTTCCACCTCCTCCTGTGACCTTGGCACCTCCTGTCCCAGTACAGGTGGAACCAGAAAGTCTGCTCGCCCTCCTCCCCCTCAGGCTAACTGCAGGCCTTACCCTTGGCACTCAGTGAGACACAGTGAGGGAAAGAAAATGGGAACTGTCCCTCTCTCCCTTTCTTGCTACAACCCAACCCCTCAGGCAGGTGCTTGCCTGTGCTCTGTGTGTCTGGGTGACGGTGGAGGGAAAAGAAACATCTGAAGAGTCAGGAATTCTGGGCTCGAATCCCAGCTCTGACATTTGTTTCTTGGATGGCCCTGGAGAGCTTTGAGTATCGCTTTCCTCACCCATAAAATGGGATAATAGCCACCTCCCAGAACTGGCTGTAAGATTCAACAGGGGGCCACACATGGGGCGTCAGTACAGTATCTGGGTCACAGCTGCCACTCAATAAGTAGCACTTCCTTCTCCATCTTGGAAAGGGCCTCCTTCAGAAGCAGAGGAAATGGTGTCTCCCCAGCTCTGAGAAATGAATGGTCATGCTGGGTTTGCTGGGTTTAGAGTTATCAGAGTCATTTTATAAGGGCTGTACCCAGTCTTTGCTAATGGGTGTGTGGGCGCTTTGGGGTCCGAGGAAGGCGGCCTCCTGAGGCCATGTGATGCTCTACCATAGAACAGCAAGCGCAGAGGGACACGACACCAGCCCTCAATGGCTTGAAGAACTCTTTCCCAACTCCCTTCTCTGGCCATCCCATGTGTTTAAACAGATGACATGTCTGTGATGTCCCTGGGGCCTGTGGGCAAGGTGTCATTCAGGCATTGGCCACACCCTGTCTCTGTCATTAGCATTTTACAATCAAGACTATAACCATCAGGAACAATCATTATGGTGGCTGCTTAGAGCCAGTGTCAACCGTCAGTGGGGGAATGGAAACAGCCTCAGGAGAGCTGTCATTAATGTGAAAAATCTAAGCTGTCTTTCTCATTTAGGCCCCGACAGTGAGACATCCCAGGCATCTCCACTAGGAGGTTGCAGACCAGAGAAAGGATGCTGTGCCTTCTCACAGGGATGGGGGTAAGGGTGGGGCTGAGAAGGTTAAAGGTGTTGGAGGTGGGTGTTTGGCTAAGAGAGAACTTTCAGAGGCTGAGAAACTTCCCTAGTCAAAGGGGTGGAGAAGTCTCAGTAATCTGGATTCCTCCTGTTGGATCATCACCTGGTACCCACAGACAGCCACATCCAAGAACGAGGAGCCTATGGGGACATGCATGCCGGGTACTTTCCAGGCCCTCATCTCATCTCCTGATAACATGTTTAGATTCTCAAGTTTGAGCTTGGTGCTTAAATCACAAAAGGAAAATTTGAGGCCCGTGTCTTCATCTCTTCATTGTTTAGGCTGGAGAGAAAAGAGCAAAGCCATTGTAATGGTAGCTAAGAAAGTCTGGGCCCCAAGTGCCAGAGTCATCTCTCCCCTACACAGGGGTAAGTCAAGATCTCAGACAAGCAGAGTCCCTACAGAAATGAGGAGGAGCATGTAGCCTGTCAAGTCTGGCTGCAGAGAGAGAAAGGGCACCAGCTAAAACCTTGTTCAGGTGGGAGAGGAGTGCCCCTAAGCCGAGTGGAGCAGGGTTCTCTGGCCATTGACACACATTTTTGAGAGCCCTTATGGGGGTCCCAGATCACCTTCTGTGAGCATCTGGCCCTCAGGTTGCTCATGAGTTAATCTGGGGAGGCAATTATAGCTCAAGTGAAAAAGAGTTCTGTGCTGTATGGACAAAAAAGAGGTGCTGTAATAAATCCAACCAAAATTCACCTCACAGGGTGATCTGATCATAAATTCCTAACTGGGCAGGTCATGGTGGGTAGTCGCACCTGAGACCTATAACTTCCATAGTAAAAGGTTATCTTTGCCTTAAACAAGTCCTGTCCATTGTTCCTGTGCATCTAGGTTAACACACCTTTGAAACACCTCTTTTTCAGACCCCTCGGAAGAGTAACCACCCTCAAGAGAGCACATCATCTTGTCAACTATCCTGTAATCGAATTCCTGCCTTGCTTTCTCCCACCTTCACATAATCTTCTTTACGTTCCCTCTTTAATTCCAAATGTATAAAAGAAACTGCAAAACTCATTCTCCAAAGCATTTTAGATCTTGTTTCCTGGCAATGTCATCAACTTGGCTCAATAAGCTCATAAAAAGTTCTCTACCGGCTTGGATGTTTCTTACATAGACATTTACTGGGCGTAGTCAGCAGGATTCTGAAGAAGCCCACCCAGGACCACCCTGTGGAGCTGGATCCTGTGCTAGGTACCAGCAGGGGCCCATGGTGCCTCACAGGCTCCCCACTTTGCATTAAGTGAACTTGGCTGAGTTTTCTCTGGGAATCCCGGGCTTCCCTGCTTCAGGTACAGGTCCTGTCCTTACTTGAGCTGTTCTTAGAAAATCCTCGAGGTGAACAAGGAAAGGAGAAGAATAATGGGTGGCAGATTTTAATTTTTTTTTTTTAATTAGATTGCTTACCGAGAGTCTGAGCAAAATCTTTGCTAGTTAAATGAGAGACAGAACTCTCTTTAGCTCTGAAAGAGAAAGGACACTTCCTTCCCCAACCCAAATAGCCAATGGGGTGATGATAGTTGTTGCAGATCCCCGAATCCGGAGTGGTGGAGACTGGCTCTGTGAGGCGTGCAGTGTGGTAATAAGAAGCCATCAGGAGCCCTGGGAAGAAGAGTTCTTTGTGAAGGGCAGGGCACCCTGGAATGGGTTCACCCCTAGAGAGGGGCCCATGGCTTGGGAAGCGTCGTGGTTCCGGTGGCATCCTGTACGCTCTTGCAGGCCCTTGCTTGGGTATTCTTAAGTGACTAAGAATCTTTGTAGGGTTGCCTGAGGAAACATTTCCTCTAGGGCGTGAAGCAGTCCTATGAGGATATTCACCGCATTTGGCTCATCCAGAGACGGGCACGTAAAGACTGGTTTTTCCCTAGAAGTTTGTTCAGACTCTACAAATCTCCAAGTTAATATAAGAAATCGTGCCTCCGAGGCCGACAAGCTTCACGACAGTCAGCTTCCCACTGATGTTCCTGCAGGAAGATGGCTGAAATGGGGGTCCTTTTGATACTTCTAAATTAATCTTTTGTGTGCACGATTAGAAAAAGCTGACTATAGAATTATGCAGAATGAATGGAAAGCATATTTTGATGGGTCTCTCAAAGCTTCAAGAAGAGGATCTACATAAATGGACCAAAAAATGATGTCATTTAGATGGCAATCCAATTATCTGAGGTATTAAAAAACAGCTGTCCTCATTTTAAAGGGAGGGAGGTCATTTGGAACTTGATGTGTCAAGGACAGATACAAATTTATCCCAACTGCCAAAACAAAATTTGGATCCACTGCTTTTTTATAAACTAGTGAGTTTTTCTCATGGCTGAAAGGTCTCTGTTTGCATCTGTCTATAAGTATGTTATAAATGTGAGATAACTTTCTATCTCTGGGTGGTATTGTTAAAATAAATTTAATAAATTAAAATGAATTGATTTGAAGGCAAGCGCTTATAAGGGTTGAGTATTTTTAAATTCTCAGAAATTTAGAAACTAACCCAAATGCTTTTTGAACTCATGTGATCTAAGATTAATCTTTAGTAAATAAAAGTTAAAGTTTTTTGCTTTACTCCTTGTTAATAATTGATTGAAGTCTATGAAATATGTTTCTAGAGGTTATAAAATGTCTTCATAAATTTGACTTCTTAGTTTTCATTACAAATTGAGGTTTTAAGGGTCAAAGTCTCAATATATGTAATTAAAACTACTAGGAATAACTTTGTAGTATTCCAGAAGGACCCATGGTACACCTCAAAAGATTTATTTTTGAGTTATATTGCATGGGAAGCATTGTAAAATAAGTGGAGAAAACATTTTTACAGTATATTGAATGGGTAAGCAATGGTTGCAAATTAAATGAATAGTTGGGGCTATAGGAAGCCCAAGACAGTCACTTGATTCTCCTAGGCTCTCTGGCAAACCCCATTTTTTGGTTTTTGCATTCCTTCATGCATCATAGTACATTTAAGTTGGGCTTAAATTAGATGAAAAAACTGACATTATTGAAAAGAGACATTTTACACTCTTACTAAAGTTTGATAAAGTCACTTTAAGCAAATGCCAAATTAGTAACCACTTCCTTTCAGAGTGAGCTCCCAGGAGACAAAGACTTTGAAAAAGATCATTGACTGCCACCTGGAGATTTTGGTTTTTGGAAGGAACATAAAAAAGAAACTCTCCAAACTTGTTAGAAGGGACCTTATCAGGTGCCTAACCACAAATGGACATCTACCCCTGTCGCTGACACTCGTCTCTGCCTACAACAAACATCCAAGACTCCTCTAGGATGAGAAGCTGCTGACACCAGAGGTGGACAGTTATCCCAAGACATCGACAAAGCCTGTACACCTACGGATTGATGTTGAACACAGAATCCATTTTGTTTTGTCTTTACCTGTCTGCTAATGATATTAGTCATAATAATAGTTATAGTTGTTCTTTGGGCTTTTCTATATAGTCCAACTGTTTATGGCTACTAAAGATGTATAAGATAACTGTTAATATTCCTTTTATGGCTTATGTAAATGGCATAGTAGATGCAAAATCTAGAAAAATGAGAGACGGCAAAACTCGGATCATGAAAATTCACAGGATAGAAATGATCCAGAGTGTTTTTCACAATGAAGGCCATAAGACCTGACTGCCTCCAATTACCTGCCCAAAAAAGGAAAATTCAGCCTCAACTCACATTCCATGGTTACGGTATCGCTCCATTCCCAAAGGTCAAAAGGACCTCGATACTGAGACTTCCTAGGAATGAAGTCTTAGCGCTGTGAGACCACACTGACTGACCATAAGGTTGGTCGTCAATGCATCCTTCAGACTGATTTATGACCAAAAGGGGAAATGTGCATGGAAAAGGGGTTGCATGGACAGTAACCTCACAGGGTGATCTAATTATAAATTCCTAACTGGGCAGGTCACACCTCAGGCCTATAACTTCCACAGTAAAAGATTATTTTTGCCTTAAACAAGCCCTGTCCATTGTTTCTATGCATCTAGGTTAACATGCCTTTGCAATGCCTCTTTTTCAGAACCCTCAGAAGCATAACCACCCGCAAAAGAGCACATAATCTTGTTAACTATCCTACAATCCAATCCCTGCCTTGCTTTCTCCCACTTTCATGTAATCTTCCTTATGTTCCCTCCTAAATCCCAAAAGTATAATAGAAACAGCAAAACTGTTATTCTCTGCAGCAAGATTTGAGAGATCTTGCTTCCTGGCAATTTCATCAGTTTGGCTCAAATAAACTCTTATAAAAATTCCCTATCAGTTTGGACGTTTCTTACGTCAGCAGCTATGAAAAAGGCTTAGGCAATGTGCTGGAGAGTTTCAAAGAAGGGTGCTCTTTTACCCTCTGGGGGAAACACAGATGGGACACTAATAAGGCTTCTTGGGTGAGAGAGCCGCTTAGCCTGGAGTGGGACAGACAGCCTCTGGGACAGGGAATGGCAGCGGCCAGGCTGCAGGAAAAGGCTGGAAACCAATAGGGGTCAGATTCTAAAGCGCTCGAATGTCCGTTTCAAAGGTTGGGAAGTGGTTTTTCTTTGGGCATTGATGGGCAGCAAGAATGAACAGGAGGGAAGGAGAGGAGGTGAAGACCTTTGCAGCAGTACATTTCGAGGTTTTGGCTCCTTGCAGGGGCTGTAGGTAGCTTGGGGTTTCTAGCTCTGGTGGAGGGTGAGGAGACCAGGCTGGTAGCAGGGAGCCCAGACATGATGGGGGTGGGCAGGTTGGTGAGGAGCTCAGTATGGGTCATGATGAGTTTAAGGTTGGGACAAAAATAAGATTTATTGTAGCCTCTTTTTGCTTGCCCTGAAAAACTGTGGCCAACACTGAGGTTCGATCTTGAAGTCACACAGGCTGCAGCAGTATCAGGACCCTGGACAGACCAGTTTGCCCACAGCCACTGTTTAGAGAAGGGACAAGAATCAAAACGCTCCAGGGGCTGAAGAGCTGTCTGGTGATTCCAACAGAGGGCTATTCTCTCTACTGTGAGGAGGTAGGTATTTCTCCAAGTTGGTCCCACTTCAAGGACAACGGACCCAGGAAGGGTCCTGACCTCTGGGTTGCCTACTGCCTGGCACCATGACACAGTGGCTGGCAGATAAACTTACCCAGGGCTTGTGTGTATGCCCCTCCACTTCTGTTCCCATAAACCCACGATCTCCCCTCAGTGCCCCCATTTGGCGAATTGGAGCAAGGGTTGCTGGTTCGCTTATGGTCCAGTGGTGGACGGGACACCACCAAACTGTCTCTGCTTCTCCAGAGGAAGCCAGGGGGGATTCATCCATCCTGAGCCATTTCTGACCTTGTCACAGTTCCCTGACCACTTACTTCATCCCTCACTTCCTCCATCTGTAAAATGGGATAATAAATAGGGTTGGGGGAAAAGCCGTCACACACATTTGATCTCGTGCCCAGAATGACCTGACTCCCCTTCAAAAGCCTCTGGGAGGCGGAACGATCCCAGGGCTAGGGGATCAGAAGAACCCGCCTCTGGGCGGGGGTGGGGAGTGGGCTTCAGGCTAGGTTCTGGTGCGAGCTACAGGGGAGCTAGGTGCGCGGGAGCGCCGGGCGGCCAGGGTTGGTGGTACTCACCGCCGCCAGGGGTCGCCGCACTAACATCCCAGGCCGCTAGTGGAGCCGATCCGGTCCAGTTTGAGGCCGAAGCAGCCCTTGGACGTTCCCTTCTTGTTGCCTTTGTTTTTGCGCGCGTTGGGGTTTTCCTGCAGAAGGCGGGCCCACGCCACCCGAGACTTGGTGTCCACGCGTAGGTCCCGGAGCAGTCGCGACTGGTCGCCCTTGAGGTTGGCGCCACCGCCTCCGGGAGTCTTGTCGCGCTTCTTCTGACCGCCGCCCTCAGCGTGGGACACGGCCAGGTCCTCCCCTTGCGGAGTTCGCGGGCCCTGTTCGAGGAAAAGAGCAAGCAGGTGAAGGGACGCACGGCAGCAGCGCGGGGGACTTTGTGGGGCCCCTGATGCTCCAGCTCCATGCGCCAAAAAACGCCGCTTGTCCCTTCCGAGCCCTAAGCGCGCCCCTATAGATGCCGGACAGCTCGGCCCTGCATCCACCTGCCATGCGGCTGCCGTGTCCGCTCCTTCGGGGAGTCCCTTGCCCTCCCTTCCTTTCCCTCTTGCCAGGCTGGCCACAGTGGAGCAAGGGCTGCGCATCTGTCGACGTTCTCCCGAGGCTGGGGACGTAGACCCCGAATCCAGGCTTCGAGGACTCCCGGCTCTCACCCGCGCACAGCTCAGAGGAAAGGGCCGCCTTCCCGCCCTCTCTGCTCCCTCTTGTGGGCCACATCCCCCTAGACCCCCAGCACACCCTACACAGCCCCTCACAGTCCCGATACCCCTGTGACAGCACCCACCTTCGGCGGCGCCCCGGGCTTGGCTTCGGAGGGCCGGAGAGAGAGTAGCGTGAGCAGCAGGGCGCAGGCCAGCAGCTGGGAGAGGTGCATGGTGCCCGCGGGGTGGAGGGGTCGCACACGGGCTGCAGCTAGGGCAGGCGCGTAGGCGGGCGCGGAGCAGGCTGGCGGGGCTGCGGTGCGGACGCGGGTCCCAGAACTGCGCGGCGCCGGCTGGGTGCGCTCTGAGCCCGCGGCTCCGCTCACGCCTTTATAATCCAACCTGCCGCTGATGTCATCCTCCCGCCCACCAGGCTGCCCGGGCCAATGGCACGCGCGCCGAGGGCTGGGAGGGGGCCGCGGGGGCTCCCCCTCTGCCCACACCCTCATCTCACCCCCGAGGGATCCCACGGCTCGGCGGGCTCTCTCTTGGCTGCACTCAGAGCTGCAAAGTGGCGCGCACAGGGTAACTCTTTGCATCAAGCGCGCGTCCTGGCATGCCAAGTGTCGATGCTCCGGGTGCCCTGCGCACACGCTTGGACCTTAACACACACCCTCTCCCTGGAAGGAATCAGTTTCCCTCTTTGCAGGTGCAAAGACAGGCTCATAGGAATTTTAAGTCACTTGCCCAAAGTCACACAGCCAGAAAGTTGACACAGCCCGAAATCCACGCAGATCTGCCTTGTTGCCAAACTCTTCCTCGGGCACCTGACAGGCGCAGGCCTGGCGCTGCGGCTCCACCTTTCACCTGCTTGCGGGGAGTTCAGATAGCACGGACGTATTTGGGTTGGGTAGGCCGAAGATAAGGTCGGATGTCTGGGTGCAGAGAGAGCGGGGTTTGTCCGGGGCCGCAGGGGGGAGCGCAAGTCCTACACCGGGGAGTACAAGCTTTTCGCTCGCGGGTGTGTTTGAGAGCGAAAAGTGAACGAAGTGGGCTGAGAGGGCAGCCCCGAGGTGCGGGTGCCATGCATGTGTGCGGTAGCATCATGTGCCCGTCACTGTGGCTCTAAGTAAGCACTCAGCCGGGGTGGGCCAGACAGAACCTCCGCGTGTCTGACCTGGCGGTGGCTTCCGTCTGCACCAACAGGTGGGCGCCTGACCCTGTCTGCACCCACTCGAGGATCCGCAGGGTGAGGATGTCTGCTCCAGTGTCCTGTGCAACTGTACAGGCTGGAGAGGGAGCTTTATCCAGCCCCGAGCCCAATCTGGATTCGGTGAGCCGGGACAGGTAGTCGCTTTCGCATTTTCGCCAGAGAGGTCCCCGTCGTAGTTGCTGGACACGGCCACGCATTCCTGCTGCTCACGACTCCTCCTTGGGCCGGGCGTCTCTATCGCACCGGCTCTGAGGAGTCCCTTCCGAATGGGCCAAGGAGGCGGAGAACCAGCATCCCAAGAATTGAGTGAGGCGCAGGAATCTGTGACTCCGCTGCCGCCCAGCAGGACTGGGCTGGAGAGTGAAGAACCCGGGAAGAGGGAGGGATCTCCAGGTGGGCGATGGAAGTCCCTCTTTGCCTACTGAACAAAGAAGAATGTAACCAATCTGCACTTCTCTGGGACGTCTTTATTTACACGGGTTTAAGGAGCCGGACAGACTGACTCCAGAGCCAGGCACTGGGCCGGTTTCCAGGGGGGCAACAGCCAGTGAGCAGTGGCATTTTCCAGGCGCGAAAACGACCCTGCAGGATGCAGGCGCCAGAATGAGCTTTTTCAGGGAGGGGAAGCCTCCCCCAAGGCGGGAGGGTGGCTGGAATTAAGAGAGAATCAGGTGCTACGCGGTGGCTCCACAGCGGAGCCTGGGCCCAGAGCACTGGGGCATCACAGCACCGTTCCCTCTCAGCTCTCTATTTCCCACCCTGGCACACTGACTCTGTAACTCCCTTTATTTAAAAAGTAACCTACATCTACGACCTGAATTTGGGTAGAAGAATCTCCTGTTTTTGAGGAGGATTCAGACACGAGCAGGGCATCCTTTGTGAGTTCTAGTGAGTTGACTCACCACCTCCATGCAGCCCACCAGATTGCCTCTCTGAGGTTATCCATAGAATGGCACCGCTCTTTCATTTGAGGAGAAAGGAAGAGGAGCAGGAAGGGGGATGAGGGAAGGATCTCTAGGTGGGTGATGAAAGTCCCCTCTCCTCTTTGTCTACTGGACACAAAGGGATGTAACCAATCTGGACTTCTCTGAGACTTTGCTCAACACCAGCTTAAGGAACTGGGCAGACTGACTTTAGAGCCAGGCACTGGTTTCCGAGATCAACATCTACATCCTCTGAAACCCCTTATTAAGGACAGGTTGGAAGCTTCCAGTTCTCCATGGTCACCTCCTTCTGCCTGAATGTCTGTAGGCTGGTTCTTCCTGTCTTTTGTGTCTCTTGGATGTGACAGCTGGGTAACTATCTAGGTCTCCTTCTCTTTAAGCTTTGAGACTAAATTAGAGTGAACTGTGGAGCGAGGCTTCCCTCAGGCAGGCTGTGTGGCAGCTCCAGCCCAGCTGGGGCCTGGGAGGTGGGGTGGGTGGAAATTCGAGGGTTGGGCTGGAGGGACCATTCAAGGAGGGAGGTAGTCAGCACAGGACTGTTTGCAACAGGTTTCACCTCTCTCTTGGTTTCCCTGCACAGGAAGCTGCAGAGGAGGCTCTCAGTGACCCTCCTGGGCCTAAGGCTGGGCACTCAGGTGGCTTTTTCCTACGTTCCCCCTCATGAGGTCCACTTCTGCTCTGGCCTCAGGAGCCAGGCCTAGGAGAGTCAGACCCACTGAGCAGATGAACATGAGCTGTTTGTGGCACTTTATTGAATGCTCCGTGTGAAAGCTGATGGCAAGGGAGAGAGAAAAGGCCACTGGGCCTCAGGGGCTTGGCGATTCTATAGGGAATCCTGTCATTTGTCATTTTCCCGCCCACTGGTTCCCTAAGTATCCACCGAGCATCCCTGTAGCCTGCAAAGCTCCACGTGGGCTGGGAAGAACCCCCAGGAAACAGACACTAGCTCTTTAAGCTGAAAAGGACCATGGCAGGAAGGAGGATAGCTTCACCAGCCTGGACAAGCAGGGCGGGCTTCCTAGAGAAGGGAAAGCCTGTGTTGAGCCAGGAAAGGAGACCCAGCAGGAGGAGAGAAGGGAAATCTAGATGGAAAACAGAGTGACTCCCTTTGGGCTAACAGGGAATGCACTCAAGCTTAGAGAGGGGCAGTAAAAGAAAAAACAATCAAATGAAAGATTGCCCTCCCTGTGGAACAGCGCCCTCTCCTGGCCCTGGGACCAAACAAAAGGATTCTTAGGCACGCAGAGGAGGGGAGGATTGCTCAGCAGCCCATCTGTTTTCTCTGCAATTATTTCATCCCAGGGGCCCCCTTCCAGCTGCATAACTTCCCAGAGAGGACACTGAACAGGCGGTGAGCAGATCTCATGAAGGCTGGGCAGGGAAATTGCAGCGGGACCCTGGCCAAGTCCCATCACTGCACGGGGCCTTCAGTTTCACCACCTATAATTGGGGAAAAGCTATTCTTACCTCCTGGACCGGGGCAGAGGGAATCAGGAGGCCGGATGAGAGGTTTCTGACCCCTGGATGAAGGCAGGATGAAGCAGCTGTGGCAGAAGAGGTGTCTGAATGTTACTGTACAAACACATACGTTCTCAGACAGGGGGATCTTCCACCCCTGAGACTCCCTGGGACTGTTTGGTGGTGACACTATGGAGGACACAGAGGCCATGGCCTGGCCAGGTCTCCTTGAGCTTGGTACCTGCTCCAGGAGTCCTGCAACTATGAAGCCTGGCCTTAGGAGAGGAATTGGAGGCCAAGGAAGGGTCATCCATTCTTCCTGGGCCAGAAATTCCAGGAAAGTTTAACCTCATCATGCCATGAGGTCTTTGTCTGACCCCAGGACACCCCCACCTGATGAGCCAGCTGCTCTCCTTCTCCTTTCCCAGGGGCCCTGCCAGCACCTGCTCCAGATGGCCTCCAACCCGGCTGTCCTACGCAGGCCCATGACGTCAGAGTTTATCCCTCCTTTTTTTTTTTTTTCTTTTCAAATAAAAGACAGATAGGCGAGACAGATAGCCTCAACAGACAGGCTCGTTTCCTGGGCGGGGGGGGGGGGGGGGGAACAACTGCTCCTTATGTGGCTGTCAACAGGCAGGTGAAGCAGTAGAGGCTGGGGCCTCAACCCTGAGAAAGTGAGCGGGGTGGTGAGGGAGAGGGGCCCTCCCAGCGGAGGACGGCTCAGTGTAGAGCACGCACCAGATGTTTGCAGAAGGAATGGATCTGCTGCCAGGCCCTGTGCCTGGGGACCCGGCTTGCCTTGGCTGGGTTCTGGAGCTTTTCCAAGCAGGGAGCCGCTCTCTGCTGCCCTGGGGGTCCCTGCAGTGAGCCCATCTTCTCGGTGTGTACCTGGAGGAGGGTGTCTATTGCCTGGTCTTGGAGACTGTGTTTCAGATTTGTTGGAGATCACAATCTTGATGGAAGGGGTCTTCTCCCTGTGGACAGAAGGGGCCCTAAGGGTTTTACAGGAGCCTCTTAACGCAGCATCTCCAGAGAAGGGATCGGGGATGGCCCTGCCAGGGTCCAGGGCCACCAGTCAGCTACAGAAGCCACATCTCTGGGTTTACCAAGCCGGAGGCACCTCTGTAGATTTCTGCCCCAGGAGGGTGTGATCACCAACTTTTTGGTGAGCAGTCAACTTCTAAAATGAGAATGACCAGAAAACACTAGCAAGAGAAAGAGAGAGAGAGAGAGAGAGAGAGAGAGAGAGAGAGAGAGAGAGAGAGAGAATATGAGAACTAAGCCAGATGCTAATGAGGATTAGAGGGAACATATTTTTTGCAATCTGTGCTCCACACAGATTGGAAAATACTTTAAAGCCCAAAGCCAAAAAAAAAAAAAAAAGCCCAAAGTCCATAAATTGTTTGAAAACCACCCTTGTGTCTATGTGAATTCTTTCTGGGCCCAATGTACAACATCACACAACAAATCTTTTCTCCTGGGTTGCTTGGAAAGGTCCCTATGTCCCAGTGCATGCTGGGCAACAAGAAGGGTCCTACCCCCAAAATGATGGCCTGTTTTGCCTTGTGGGTGAAATAATTTAAGAGAGGGAGTTTTAACTTTGAGTTCAGTAGAGTTCAGAAATTCTGATCAAACAGCTGATTGGGGATCTTGGGCCCCATGGAAGTGGCGAGGAGGGGAGACAATCTCTGTGAGAAGAGAACCATACTAGTGGTTTTTTTGCTGCCTGGTT